ACTGCAGGGACACACACATCGGGGCACACACACACACACACACGCACGCACACGCACGCACTCACACACCCGCATGCATGTGCGTCAAAGAAAGGGTTGTCGAAGATGGAGGGAGAGAGAGAGGCAGGATTGGCAGGCAGAGGGAGATGCGCACACGCACAACACGAACACAACACACACACACGCACAACACACACACACACGGTAGCTGCTTTCCCTCCTGAACACGAGAACCCCGGATCTGGCCCACGGTTCCATCTGCTTGTGGTTCGCCCTCACCCCAAACGTCCAAGCTACAGTGTCTCCCCTCTCTCCATCCTCCCCCCCAAGTCTCTGGGTACCATCACCCCAGCCCCCCCCCAGGTGATGCTTTCCACTCTTTGCTGTGAGAGGAGGAAGACGGGGAGGAAGAGGAGGAGGACGACAAAGGGGAGAGAAGAGACAGCGGGAGGATCCAGGCGGACTGGGGGGGGAATTCCTTCACTCCTTCAACACCCCCTTCACCTCTCTCTCCCCCCCTCAGCGCCCAGAAACCACGTTCTTCCTCATCAACCCATAGGCCCTGTTGCCCTGGCAGTCCATCATCATCCCTACGAGAGCATCCGTGGAGCATCATCTCCGTGGCAACTCAACTTCCAGAGGCCAGGTGGGGATTCTCGCTTACTCATACTGCCTGAAATCCCCGGGGTGGTGGCGGTGGGGGGGGCAGGTAGCCCCCTTCCCCTCCCAAAAGGTGCCTTTCTTCAAAGTGGGGGGAGGAGGAGCAGCAGTGGTCCCCAGGTATGTCTCCCCACCCCACCTGAACCCCCTCTCCTCCATATATCCTCTCTTCCATCTCTCTGCTGGGAGAACGAGACACCCCCCCCCTTAAAGCATCAATAAGAAAAAGGCAACAGGGACCCTGAGCATGGACCGAGCGCTTTCCCAACAAGCACTACAGGTTTTACTATCAGCAGAGAGGACACCAAAGGCTGTCATCATTGCCAGAGAGAGCAGAACACCCTTCCTTCCCTCCACCCCCACAACTCCCTGGCGTCTTCTTCATGGCGACATGTATGGCCGAACTCTTTCTATGCTCCGAGACACTCGCAGGATAGGGCCCTCCCTTCCGACACACAGTGGGGTCCTGTCGACCTCTCTGCTCAGCAACCCTACTTGTGCAGAGTCTTGGGTTCTAGTCCTCCCACCGCAATCACTGTCTCCACAAAGAACCAGATATCTCTCTCTCACATACACACAGAGAGAGAGAGAGAGAGTCAATCACTGTCTCCACAAAGACCCAGATATCTCTCTCTCACACACAGAGAGAGAGAGAGAGAGAGAGAGAGAGAGAGAGAGAGAGAGAGAGAGAGAGAGAGAGAGAGAGAGAGAGAGAGAGAGATCTCAACATGCTTTTCAGGAACCACTTCCCAAATATTAACTTTTTAAAACAACAACAGATTGTCGTGTGGGTACACATGGGTCAGTGTTCTGCTTCTGTGTTGGGAGATGACCCGCTAGCAGATCTAAACCCAGAAGTGAAAGATCAACGGAGTAGCCACCTCTCCCTGAGTATTTCCTAGATTGCTGGAGACTACAGTTCCCAGAACCCACCAGCCAGGGCTGGGTGGGGGAGTCTGGGAGTTGGGAGTCCACCGATCAAGACCACGGCTAGTGGGAAACAGCTGGAAAAGACCATCCAGGACACGGTGACCCCTTGGCCTACGACTCCCGGACATCCTGGCCAGCACAGCTAGAGGTGAAGACCTCTGGCAGTTTTCGTCCAAGAGGACCTGGGAGCCCACTGCTCTAGGACCTCTCCTACGCGATCCTTTGGTGCGTGCACACGCCTTTCTCCATAACCCCTTAATCCTGGACCACTTTCCTCCTGCCAGATTTGGCTAAGGTTGCGCCTCACTGCCCCAGGGTCCAGTTTCCAACAGAGAACGGCCAGAAGCCAACTAGCAGGACATGAGGGCAATGACCGTTTGCTATTTCCTTGGTATTCCCCAACATCGGGCACTGAACGGTGGACTGCTTCTGGACGCAGAAGTTCTACTAGGACTTCATGGCCTACCAGCCATGAGCAGACCCTCCTGTCTCCCTCCACAAAATTTTCCTACCTCCTCCGAAAGCTACCTAGGCTGAAATCCATGGTGAAATTTCATGGCAGGGAACCCCACAAACAGGTAGCGAGCTTATGGAACCCTTCCTTGAAGACACCCTTCCCTTTTTAAAGGCCCTTGGACTTAAGAGCACAACGTGGTGAGCTTCCTTGATGACACCCTTCCCTTTTTAAGGCCCTTGGACTTAAGAGCACAACGTGGTCATGTGGTGACCCTCAAATCCATGACTGAAGTCCTTTCCTAGCGTGGTGCTCTCCAAAATGTGATGCACCACAAAGAACCGTAATATCGTAGAATGATGGAGTTGGGAGGGGCCTCTAAGGCCAGGGAGTCCTACCTCCTGCTCAAAGCCGGAATTCAAGTCAAAACAGATTTGACAGATGGTTGTCCAATTTTGTCTCCAAAGCCACCAGCATTGGAGCATCCAGCACCCCCTCCCAAAGTCATGGGTTCCATTGTCGTACTGCTGTAACAGGTAAGAAGTACCTCCTGATATTCAGCCTACATCTAGCTTCCTCTGGCTTGAGCCGATTATGATGTGTCCAGCACTCTGGGACGATCAGGAACACATCCTGTCCCTCCTCTGTAGGTCTACCTTTCAAGTACCGTATTTGAAGAGTTTGTTGGCATCTTTCTTGAAGTGCGCTGTCTAGAACTGGACACACTACTGTAGATGAGACCACAAATCCCATAATCCTCAAAGCCAAGACAAAACAAAAACTTATTCATAGTGTCATAGAGCAACTCCCTAAGGCAGGCATTCCCAACTTTTTCCAGCCCCCACCCATTTGTTACTGGGGGGGCATACCGCCTCTGGACATATATTTAGCCAGTAGAACCAACCCTGTTTAAGATCTTCACCTTCCTTAGATACATCTAATGGGGGTGATCTCACCCCAGCCCTGCTCTGACCTATTTTCTGCTTCCGCCAGTGCCTATGTCGCCCCCAGCTGGGAACTCTGGGGATTACATTTCCCCCTTCCAATTTTTTTTGCTGTTGCAATTGAGAACTCACAGAAAAGACAGCTCTTGTGCCACTGGCAAATCTGAAGCCACCCCAACATGTGTGTCCACCGAACTGACAACTAAACAGCCTTGAACTGTCCTATCAGCAGCTTGTGCATAAATATTACCCCCCTCCCCCACTGACTGAAGGGCTGCACAATTCAACAAGAGAGTTGTGGAAGAGAATTTGTACCTAGAACTGTGATCTCTCCACTCACACACAAACATCCAATTCAGTCAACCTGAATGGACCCAAAACATCTGCACCAGAGACAGAACACATACAAAAGCATGCTATATGTACTGAACTTTAAAAATTAGTGGTGGGGGGGGGGAACCCACCTCTTTATAGCCTTTTCTGTGTCCAGCAGCCCACTTTTCCGCATGCATGAAGCTTTCCTCAGAATTTCTGATTTATAGCAAGAGAACGCATTTCTAGAGATGGGTTTGCAGCCCATGAAGACCGAGAGGAATTGATTAACCAAATTTCTGGCAGCAGGCAGGACCGTCCACAACCCTTACCTGCATTCAGACTTCTCCAAAGTTCTGGGTAAAGGTTCCAAGCATCCCACAAAGTGGGCTGTGGGTGTCAAAAGCTTGTACTGTACTGTGATCTAGTTATTCCCCTTTATAAACTGGCACAGAATCCTTCACTGGCTTCCCTCCAACCGCCTAAAGATGCAACACCTTGGGAAACTGAGAGAAAACCAGGCACTTAAAAGGTTTGGACAGGAAAACACGAGAGGGCCTTGAAGCACGTACCGAGTGCCATCACAATCAGTTTCCATGCCAGCAAGATATTAAAGGCCAAGGGCTGTCATGGTTGGCAGCTTTCCCGACCGGTCAAACACGAAGACAGGGGTCTGCTCCCAATCTGTCTGAATTCACTACTAAAGCCATGCATGTTGACAACCCTCACAATATCCTGTAGCAAGGAGTTCCAGAGGGAAGAGTTTCCTCTGACCATGTTTTTTTCACGCTGGGCACAGTTTTACGCACCGGTGTCAAGCGACAGAGCCCCAGACAGAGTCACCTCACCTTGGCTGCCTCCCTCGGCTCCCACATCAATGCTTCTGAGCAAGAGTGGAGAGCCTCTCCTACCATGCGCTCCACAGGAGAAGGAAGAGAGGAGGTGGGAGGTCAGAAAATGGGGTTGCAAGGGGAGGGGTGGCCCTCCTCTCCTCCCCCTCCTGCCTTTTCAGGAGATCTCCTGGCGGGACATCCCACCTCCTGGTGGAGAATGAGCTGGACGTCCGTCCGTCTGCCCGTTCCCCATCCCCCCCAGCGCTGTCTTTCCCACCACTCCATCTCATGCCAATCCACAACAGGCAGAAAAACCTCCACGGTGGCAGCAGCAGGCGGTGGCAGTGACTTCGGCAGGGCCCCGTCCACCCGCCCGTCCACTGCAGCCCAGCTGGGAAGGCCAGGAGGCTCCGGCCTCCCGTCCCCTCCCTGCCACCCTGTCCCAAGAGGGAAGGGGGCCTGCTCCTGCCTCTCTCAGCAGCTCAACCCCCCCCCCAATGCCAATGCACACACACACACACACCCCAATGCCTGCCTGCCTCCTCCGTCCCATCCATTCTGTGCCGGTCCCAGATCCTTTTTCCCTGCCCGGGTGGCGGACAGCAGCTGTGCTTGCCCGGAGCTTCATCAAAGGCAGCCCTCTTCTCCTCCTCCTCCTCTTCCTCTGCCAGGCGCTGGCTGGCGCCCACTGCCCGCCCGCCTCCCTCCCATCCGGGCCTGCTTCACGTCCCTGCTCCACGCTTTCTCTCTCGCTCGCTCTCGCTGGCTTCCTGTTTGCTCTCCCGGCTGCTGCTGCTGCCGCCTGGGCAATTCCTCCTCGTTCTTCCCCCAGCTTTCCTCCNCCCTCCTCCCTCCCCCCCCCCCCGCCATCACCTCTCTGGAGATGGCCTCTGCCTTCTTCTCTCTCCCTCCTTCCCCCCAAGCTCTGCTCCATCTTCTCCCCACCCCATAATA